AATGCACGGCGTCCTCGACTTCACTGCCACCTCGATGTCTCCAAAGATCATCGAAAGGAGTGCAGTGGCTCCAGGCATGAAGATCTGCTCCAGTATCTTCGGATGTCTGCCCACACATCCACCATACTCTCCGTCGTGAGGATCGTTAAGCTTCCTCAGGTCGTGCAGGTAGAGCTTGTGGGACTTCGCAATCGATGGGGGAAAGCTATCCTCCCATCCGTCACGGTTGTGAATCCTTACTCGGGTCTTGCCTCGAGCATCAAATTGATATCTTGCTCCACCAGTCAAGATAACGACGTCGCCGAAGTGGTCGTACGCCTTGTCAAAATGGAAGGATTCAGGGCCAACCGCACACCCATTAACCAGTCCTTCAGTATCAGGTACTGGAGAGGTAAGGACCATGGCTGTTGGAGAAGGTCCTTTACGGGTACCTTCCTCAAGCAACCCCTCGATTGGTCCCTTAAGGGTACCAATCTCCAGGGATGCTTCCGAATCTTCTGCAACCAGGGCCCTCACTGCAGGCCTAGCTCTAACTATGGACCTACATTCAGGGGTCCTAAGTGCCTTAACACAGGCTGGTAAGTCCTCTTCATCAAAGGTACTTAAGCATAGTAGAAGTAGTCCTGTTTCCTGGCACCTAGCAAGAGGTACCCGTGACAATGAGCCATCTTGGTTGCGGATCATGCAGGTACATGTTTTCATGTCCTTAATAAGCCCTAAGGTGCTTTGGGCAAACAGGCTCAGCAGCAAGGGGTTTCGGGCAGAGGTGTCTACTTCGTGAGATTCTAGTACACCCCCAATGGTTGTGTCTCCCTTGACTATGCTGAACGGCAAACGACGTTTTCCAAGTGTGTTGGATGTTGCACCTAAACCCGCAAACGACTTTTTCCTAGAATCAACCCAGGGGAAACTTAGGCCTAGCGCCTTAAGTCTCTTCTCGGCTAGTGCTCCCCAGGATGCACTATGGCAGGTGGAATTGCAACCTTCGTCGAGGGCACCCCATACGTGGGCCTCTAACGGGTCCCACATGTCTACTAGGGGGAGGTTGTCAATTCGGACTAGATCGCTACCAGAAGCTGATCCTGCACCTGCAATATTCCTAGGAAAAACCTTAGGTTTTCCATCGCCCTTCCCCTTAGCCTTCGCCTTAGAGAGGGCCTTGGGCGGTGCAGGTTGACTTGGCTCTGAAGGTGAGATCCCTCTACCTTTACCTCGCTTAAGCCACCTAGGTTTCGGTTCTATCCCTGCTCCCTTGCCCTGCCCGGTGGTCCTCGCCGGCGCCGCGGTCGAAGCTGAGTTGCCACTGTCGGGCAGGTCCTGTCGAGAGGCGGAGGCACTGGCCCGGGAGGGTCCAGTGAAGCGGTTAGGCCTCGTGACGTAAGGATCACGGGGCTCCTCTTCAGCTTGCACATAGGCTTGTGCTGCGTCTGCCTCCCATACAACCGACCTATCTACGAAACCACCCTTAGGGTTTTCCTTAGGGGTCGGCTCGACTGGATTAGGGGTCTTAGGGATATTTTGGTTTTGGCTCGACGACGAGGATGCCTGGGCATTCCTCGGAGAGGATGCTTGAGCATTCCCCTGTGGGGGCGAGGAGGCTTCCGCCTTCCACTTGGCGCGGATGTACTCAGGTCCTGCCTTAGCGCAGGCCTCTCTGTACTCCTCCTCGCGCCTCTGTGCGTCGAGTTCTCTTCTCCTGGCGAAACCCTCTGCCAGGATCTGCTCCCGTCTGCGTCTCCAGGCATCATGCCGTGGGAGATTCTGGAGGTCCAGGTCTCGCTCTGTAGGATCCTCCCACCAAGGGACCGGTTCGGTTCCCTGTCGCTGGCGTGCTTGAAAGTCCAGCTGCATGATCTCCCTTCCGGGAACGTGTCGCACTTGCAGACGGTTCTGAGCCGCCGACGCTGAGGCAGGAGGCGTCACACTGTCGGATTCGGCATCATTCTGAGTCTGCTGGCGCGCCTGCTCAAAGGCTGCGTCAAGATCCTCTTGAGCTTGCCTGGCGATATAATCGTCCAGCTCAGCAACATTGTAGGATCCTGGCGATCCGTCGTCTGACGAACCACCCGGGAACGGATCGTACAGATCGTCATCGGCCCTGAAGCTTTCTATTAGAATAGCTTCTCGATAATCGCGATCGAGATCCGGGTCCTGGCTGTGCACAACGGAATCGGTCCCCAGGGGATCCGAGATGTTGTACAGCTCCGGAGTATTCGAGGCTGGCTCAGGCTCTGGGCTGCGCCCTCGGGCCACCATTGCTGTCGGGGCGAACTCCCAGGAGGGACTTATGGGACTAGACCCGACTATCATGGTGATTGCTTCCTTAAGCCAGGAGTGAAGCCCTGTTGGGTGAATCCGTTCCTCCAACGCAATGGCCTGGTTGATGCGATCTTGGTACAAACCCATGATCTGCAGCACTGCCTCAGGGTCGAGGTCAGCGGTCGCGTCGTCAGCGGTAACCGCTTGAACCAGGGGAAGCGCGAGGTCCGTCGCTTCCAAGATGCGTTCCGAGACGGCTTTCCGTTCTCGGTGAAACTCCTGCGGCACTTCATCAACGATAGTGCCACACATTCTACAGAAGGTTCGGGACGTGATCCTCGAACTACCCCGATGGTCTGTTGCTTCGTGTGAGCATACAGAGGGGTCTACGGTATATACATGTTCCCGTTTTTCTTGGGATACATGGCCGCAGTCCCTGCAGGTCTTGCGGACGTAATTCGCGGAACTCCCTTGGTAGGAGAATTCCGTGCACGAGCTACACTTCTCCGCCAAGGGCGGATTCGGTGGAGTCTTTTTCTTCGCGCCCTTTCCCCTCGGGCGAGGGTTATAGGTTCCCTCAGGGATACCTATCGAGGCACGAGTTTCGCGATAGTATTGACCTCCTACACCCTGCTGAATGACATAATATCTATTAAACCAGGTGAGGAAATCCTTAAGGTGCGCGGCAGGGCTCGGCTGGACGAGGGCCCAGCGCACGAACTCAGTCTTACGGGATACCTCCTCGTAAGTCTGGCCCTTGTGTTGACCGAGATTAAATCTTCGGTCGGCACCCTCCATCTGCATTGAGCTAGATGGTTGTGAGGGGGCAGCCTTGGATCTGGGTTCGCCTAGATCCCGCACCATATGGCCACTAGGGTCCATATCGTTCCCTGAGGGAACGTACAGGCCCCCGTCGGGGTCCTGTCGCGGCTCCACAATTGCTATGTGGGCCCGGGGTTTCCCCTTCCCTCCCTTAGAGGTAGGGAATTTGCACTCGGGGTCACCTGCCCAATGACCAATAGCTCCACACCTGAGGCATTTCGACCGTGCCTTCAGGTTTTTCATTTTCCCGCGACGCTCGTCGAGCGTAAGGTGTGATCGCACTACCTTACCTTTCCCCTTTCCCTTGCGGCCCTTGCCCTTACGCCCCTTCGCTTTTCCGAATGCGGAGTTCGCGGCAAGCTGCAATTGGATTACATGGCCGCTGTCTGCATCCTCGGGATCAAGCTCCTCGAGGCAGTTAAGGGCAGTTGCCTCTTCTTCCTCGAGCTCGAATTCCTCGTAGCCCGGGTCCTCTTCCTCCTCCCCGGCGGGGTAGGAGTGAGGATCGTACTCAGGCTCGTCCCCAAAGGCGGGGTACGAGGTGTCGTCGTACTCTTCGGCATCGTCGCCGTCGTCCGGCGGCGCGTCGTCGTAGTACTGCGTCTCGTCTTCAGCGACGTAGGCGCGACGGTTAAAACCCTTAGACCTATTCTTACCGTAGCCCTTAGGGTTCCCGCGGCGGGCACCAGGATGGTGATGCGGTCGGCGGTCCTGAAAGGTACCGCCACCTAAGGAACGACCTTCCTTTAGGTGAACGCCGCTGTAGTGCTCCACTAGGGTAGCAGCAACTGCTTCAAAGCTCCGGTTGCTAGTGGTGCATGCCTTAATGACAAGGCACTCTTGCCGAGTCAAACCGGAAAGCTCCAATAGCAATTCTACACGCATCGGCTCGGAAAGCTCGATGCTGGCGTCGAGAGTTTTGAGCAGTTTCCACCAGCGTCGTCGTCGGCTGACGTACGACAGCATCGACTCGCCACCTTGGCGTGCGAGGACACCTTGCTTTTGGCCCGCACGGAAGAGCTCTCGAGCTTCTTCGGTCGCACGGGGGAAGACGACATTCCTCAACTTGGTGATGAAATCCCGGAGGCCACCAGGGGCAGTCAGGGATTCGATACCGATATCCCGGGCGAGTTCGAAGGCTTCGTCCCGAAGTCCTTCCAGCACTTTATGCACCATTTCGGTTCGTGCTTTAATCGCATAGGATGACATTTCGTCGGCAACCGGCAGTTCTGTGACCGAGTCAGGTGACTTCGGTGCAGATGGTCTCCTGCGAGATCCACCATCAGAGGCTGCTGCAGCTGCCTCGGCTGCATCTATGTCGGGCCTGTCCTCGGGAGGTACAGGGGCAGTGGCTCCCGCAGTCGGACTCTGCTCCACGACGCGGCTCTCATCGTCACTGCCTTCTTCTTCTGGCTCCACGGTCTTCTTAGATTTGCTCCTGATGGCATCTTCGTACAGTTTAAGCCTCATAGAGGTCCTAAACTCCCAGTCGTGGAACGTACTGGGGGTGCCATCATATATGTAGCTCCCGCTACGAGTCTCAAGGGGAGTACTCGAGTAGGTGGAGCGACTGTACCGAAGACCGGCCACGGACATGCTTGGCGAAAGTTCGAAGGGAAAGAATTGAGAGGGAGGTATGCAATGGTAGGTATTGAGCACAGGCTACAGGCTACTGCGATCCGCGCAGATACAGGTCCCGGAGGTACTTGGCTCCGCTGCCAGTTTGAGAAAACTGGTGGATCTTTTCGCCGACTGCGAAGCTATCTGAATATGACTCAAGGGCCCTAACGGCAGCGGGAAATATATACAGTTAACACATGCATGTCATGGCCATGGCTTCCTGTACATGTACAACAGAGGGTGCATTCACATTACCCTAAACCCTAAACCCCGAAACCCTAAACTCCAGGTAGAAGGACCTGCAGCGCCACGAAGGTGAGCTGCAGCAGGGGATCCGGTTCGGGTCCCCCTTTCTTCCCTTTCTTCGGCGCCTTGACCTCAATGACCTGGTCTTCAGGACTTCCCCTACATTGTAGTACCCTTATAGTAGCCCTTAAAAACTCCACTTTGACTTAGATTTAAGCTTTCTGGCTAGGGCGTTTTGGATTTAAAGGTGTGGGGCCGAAATCTTGGGGTTTTTGCTTTTTGAGTTCGCGGGGTTGCAGAAGTCCAGCCTCGTTCACGGGCTTGCTCAGCACATCGGTCTTGTCCATGTAGACATTCACCATGTACCTGGTGACAATCCCGAGGGGTTTAGACTAGGGGACATAGGGGTTTGGGCTTAGGGCCATAGGGGGTTTAGGTTTAGGGGCCATTGGGCTCCTAGGCCTACTCCGACTCTGTCCCCCTCCCCCTCCTCCTCCTCCTCCTCCTCCTCCTGCCACTACTACGTATACTATCACCTTCAAATGGCTCCATTGTGCTGCGATCCTACGATATATGGGAGTTCCCCAAAACAAGGGACCTTAATATAGTACCCTAAATAGTAGGATCCCCAATATAAGGACCCCCAAATAAGGCATTTTCGGAAACTCTCATATCGAGCTTGCAGGTAGTCCATACGGCCAGAGGAACTGCGCAGAAACCCTCAGCCATAGAGCTGCTTCAGACAACTCACCACCCATACGCACAGGGTTCTCTACCTAGGATACCCAGTAACCTAAGAATAAAAAGGCCTCTCTTTTTGGTATTGGGTAACTTTATAAGGAACCTAGGACTACAAAAATGGAATATGGGTACTACTGGGCATCCTAGCTACTATAGAGGCCTCAATAATTCCCCATGCTAAGTTGGGGGCTCCTTGTTCTTATTTTAGTATAAAGGATCCGAAACCCTATTCTAACCACTAAGGCCCCTATATTACACTTGTGCTATCGTTGTCCTAGGGTTTCCCAACTGAAATAAAAAGCTACCCCAAGCCTCTAAGCCCCAACAAGAAAGGAACTTACTTTTGGAGCCCTTGTAGTAAGGATCCTACCTTTTTGGGTACTATATTAAGGTCCCCTAAACCCTAAACCCTTAAACGTATGCCCTAAACCCTAAACCCTAAACCTTAAACCCTAAACCCTAAACCTATGTTTAAGCCCCAACAAGAACTCCAGGCCTGTACTCCCCGCTCTGGTCCGTCTGTGGGACCTCTAGGATCAAGGTGTCGCCGACTTGCATGACTAGCGGCCTCGCACGGTTTAGGATTTTTTTGAGGGCCCTTTCCCAACTGCAGTAAAGCTGGAATTCCTTACCAGGATTAGGATTTAGGGTTTAGGGTTTAGGGACTATCGGAGCCCAATAATCAGAATATGGAGCTTTTTGGGTGGGAAGACTGCGTACTGCAGGGGCCTGGATGGTCCGAAAAGGATTTGCTCATGAAAACTGCAGCGCACAATGCCAACTCGGAAGAGAGATTCATTCTAATTCTTCAATCCCTTGCAATCATTACGTAGTTCTGTGTTGCTTACCATCATAACTACAGATACCCCTGAGTATCTAAGCCGGGGTTGGGCTTGCTGGCCTTAGGGGTTTAGCATACCCTACTGACATCCCTCATGGCCTCACAAAATCTCTGAAAAGAAAACGCAACAGGCACATTCTACGAAAACTTGCTGGAACGCCAGGTGAAGGGGCCGTGCGGGCACCGCCTCCCCCACGCCCAGCAGTTGCGTTTCCCAGTCCAGGGCCTTTCTGCGAAGTCGCTGATGGGAGGTGTTTAGGGTTTAGAAAAATTTGTAAATACGGTGAGTACAATGGGTATTTCATAAATTGGGCTTTCCCATGGGTTCTGGTGGGCTTTAGGGTTTAAGGGTTTCAGCTGGAGCGTCAGCATCTTAGGTTTTAGGGTGCCTTTTTTGCCAAGTGGTGGCAACACAAACAAACTACCCAGAACTTCGGAGCTTGCAAATCTCAGAAAAACACCCGAGCAGAATAACTTTAACTCTAGTGGACAGCCTGGGGCCTGCACCCTCCAACAACCAAGGGTTTAGGGTTTAGGGTTTAGGGTTTAGGGTTTAGGGTTTAGAGTTTAGGGTTTAGGGTTTAGGGTTTAGGGTTTAGGGTTTAGAGTTTAGGGTTTAGGGTTTAGGGTTTAGGGTTTAGGGTTTAGGGTTTCGCAAAGTCAACTATTGCTAGCGTTATCATCACTGTGACTGATCTTTAGTAACTCATAGTCGAACTCACGACATTAATTCCATCAACATTGCGATTGAAGCCTGGAGTACGATGTGGAGACAGTGAACCGAATAAGCCGGGCGCCTCCTTTTGCGGAAAACAGAAAAGCCCCGTACCCTCAGGCGTTAATACTGACCGCCTAGAGAAGCTCCCTTAAGTGATTTGTCGATACTTGAAGATGGGACCTCTAGAAAGGCCCCAACACCCAACACCCACACTTGTCTAAGTCCATATGAAGCCCGAAGCCCCTTTACAGCTCCTGTTTCAAGTAATGTGCCCTAGACCGAAGCCCTGTCTACTGTTTCAGATAAGACGCCCAGGTGGCACCAATGCGCTGGGCGAAGAGCCCATCCCTTTCCTCTGGAAAGGCACGGGGCTGCTTTAGCAGCAGACCTGGGATACTGGGATTTAGGGCTTTTTGCTTCGGGTTTAGGGTTTTAGGGCGTGCGATGTGGGGCTCCGGGTTTAACCTTAACCTACCAGAACCTACTTTTTCTGTTGGGTCCCTGTAAATCCCATACTAGGGTTTATAATAAGAACCTACAAAAAAGTAGAGCGTAGTAGGTCTAGGTAGGGCTTGGGTTTCGGGTTGAGGAGAGGTTTGGGAGTTTAGGGGCAGGGCTCATGTTCAGCAGCGGACCTATGCGCGTGGTATCTACCTACGTCTCTTTGAACCTCCGAGGTCAAAGCATGTGTACTGCTGAGCGCTTTACAATATGGAAGTTTCCGAAAATAGGGGACCCTAATATAGTACCCTGAATAGTAGGATCCTTACTATAAGGACCCCAAAATAAATTAAGGTACCCCTATTTTTCGGAAACCCCCAATATGATTTAGAGAATCTACTGTACCCGAAGCTTCCAGTCTACCTACCGGCATCGTAGAGACGTTGGTCCCAACAGTCTGTGCTTTTAACACTTAGACCCTCTGGGAAATTCAGTGCTTTTGGAGGCTCTAAGCCTGGAGCGCCCCAAGAAGAGAGACCGATACCGGCCCCTTCCAGCCCTCAAGCTTCAGTGAAAGACGAAAACGAGGAAAGCGCAATCGAGACCCTAAAAACCCTTAGCCGTGAACTCTGACAACCGTAAACCCTGAACCCTGAACTCTCAAAACACTAAACACTAAACCCTACACCCTAAACCCCTAAACCCTGAACCCCTAAACCCTAAACCCTACACCCCTAAACCCTAAACCCTAACCCCTAAACCCCTAAACCCTAAACCCTAAACCCTAAACCCGGAACCCTAAACCCTAAACCCTTAACCCTAACCCCTAAACCCAAACTAAACCCCTAAACCCTGAACTCTCAAAACACTAAACCCTAAACCCTTAACCCTAAACCCTGAACCCTAAACCCTAAACCCTTAACCCTAACCCCTAAACCTAAACCCTAAACCCTAACCCCTAAACCTCAAAACACTAAACCCTAAACTAAAGCTGGTGATGCCTGTCGCGACGTCTAGGAGCCTATGGCATCACCAGCGCACGTGCGCTGAGCACCGGCATCCGTTTCAAGAACGGATGCTTGCTGCATGCAGCTTGAGCGCGAAGAGTTAGCTTCGTGCTCCGTACCCGCATTCGTTCACTTCGGAGGGTGCATTACGCTTCCAGCGTACAAAGTGAATACTAGTATATTGTAATACCCTAAACCCTAGGGTCGGGATCCTAAATGGCTCCTGAGGTCTTGAGCAGCCACATGAAAAGAACCGCATTTCGGACAGTCCGCAGGCTGGACCCAACTGCCCGTACGGACGGCGCCGTGTGCACTCCCTGACAGCTCGCAGGCGACGGCGGCGCGTGCAAAAGGACCCCACTGCCCGTACGGACGGCCGGTTCGGACGGCCCCCACTGCCCGTACGGACGGCGCTCCTTTATCTTTGCTTTCTTAATGAACGAGACACAGACGGTCGAAGCGGGCTGCCATTTCGGACAACCCGAGACTGGACCGCAGACTGGACCCCACTGCCCGTAGGGACGGCCGGTTCGTGCGGCCCCCCGCTGCCCGTACGGACGGCGCTGGACCCCCAGTTTGCCAACTTCCCGTACGGACGGCCGCCCAGCAAACTGCCCGTATGGACGGCGCGGCGCCATTGTACTCCCTGACAGCTCGCAGGCTGGACCCCACTGCCCGTACGGACGGCCGGAACTGCCCGTACGGACGGCGCCCCGCGCTCCACCAAACATTCAGTACCGCTGTGAACGGCTCCCGACGAAAGCCTATAAGCAAGACCTCAACGCGCACTCCCTGTACGCACAAAATGGCCGTACGGACGGCCGCCAGCCAACTGCCCGTATGGACGGCGCCATTGTCCTCCCAGACAGCTCGCAGGCTGGACCCCACTGCCCGTACGGACGGCCGGAACTGCCCGTGCGAACGGCGCCCTGCGCTCCACCAAACATTCAGTACCGCTGTGAACGGCCCCCCGACGAAAGCTTATGAGCAAGACTTCAACGCTAGGGAATACGTTGTACGTAGTCCAAACTCTAAGCTCGCAGGCTGGACCCCACTGCCCGTACAGACGGCCGGAACTGCCCGTACGGACGGCGCCCCGCGCTCCCCCAAACATTCAGTACCGCTGTGAACGGCTCCCGACGAAAGCCTATAAGCAAGACCTCAACGCGCACTCCCTGTACGCACAAAATGGCCGTACGGACGGCCGCCAGCCAACTGCCCGTATGGACGGCGCCATTGTCCTCCCAGACAGCTCGCAGGCTGGACCCCACTGCCCGTACGGACGGCCGGAACTGCCCGTGCGAACGGCGCCCTGCGCTCCACCAAACATTCAGTACCGCTGTGAACGGCCCCCCGACGAAAGCTTATGAGCAAGACTTCAACGCTAGGGAATACGTTGTACGTCGTCCAAACTCTATAAGAAAAACCCTAAACCCTAACAGATTCAATGTCTGGGTGGTCTTGGGGTGGGATGTCGCGTCCAGCTCGGCGCGCCGCCCCGCGACCCTCTGGGTCGAGGCGCGCCGCTTACTGTGGGAAACCCTTAACCCTAAACCCTAACCCCTAAACCCTAAACCCTTAACCCTAACCCCTAAACCCTAAACCCTAACCCCTAAACCCCTAAACCCTAAGCCCTGAACTCTCAAAACACTAAACCCTAAACCCTAAACCCTGAACCCTAAACCCTACAACCTTAAACCCCTAAACCCTAAACCCTAAACCCTAACCCCTAAACCCTAAACCCTGAACCCTAAACCCTAACCCTAAACCCTGAACCCCTAAACCCTAAACCCTACACCCTTAAACCCCTAAACCCTAAACCCTACACCCTAAACCCTAACCCCTGAACCCCTGAACTCTGCAGTCGCCGTCAAAGGTGCTCGGTCGCTTGCGCATGTTCTTGACATAGAGCTTAAGCTCGGCATTCCTGGGATTCTTAGAGGGGTCTCTTTAAGGCACAAGCCTTCATCCCTCCTTCCTAGCGGTATACGGTATACTATACCACCGCACTTCAAAGCTTCAAGACCTACGATGCTGAAAACCGAACTGGGTGTCGATATCAACAGTCCCCAACATTATGTTTTCGTCAGATCTCTATGTTAAACTACAAGGGAACTCATAAGTTCTCCCGAATCGACACCTAATTCAAAAAATCTTCAGGAAGAGCCAAGGATTCGGCTTGTAAAAGTAGTTCAACATCTCGGTGGTGTTGCTCTCACCTCCCGGCCGCTCCTTTAGCAGAGTTGTCGTACGGCCGCCTTCCTTCGTAGGGCCGAGGTAGAACACGGAAATCCAGGTGTCGTGCGCGAGCCGAAGATGAAGACGCAAGAGCGCCATCACATCCTGGGCTCAGGGTTCCTTAAGGGGTTTGGGGTTTAGGCTTTAGGAGGGGGGTTCTAGAAGGGCTCTAGTAGGGGCCCTGCTTCGGGCTTGGCATTTGGGGTTTCCGGTTCCTGTAAGGGTTTCTTTAAGGCTTCCTTCAATGGTTCTACAAGGGCTCTAGTAGGGCGCAATTCCGGGTTTAGCCTTTGGGGTTTACCGTGTAGGATGGTTTGCGGAATACACCCAAGAAGGAAACCACATGACACATAATTGGTTGTAGATCCCATGTATGATAACCGAACTAAACTTCCGTAGCACCCTCCACCTATACCACCCTTTATCATCAATCACTCTCCACAACCTCTCCAAAACCCTTACAAACCCTCTCAACAAAACCTCCCAAACCCTTGGTTCAAAACCATCGGACTTCTATGATCTGTCGTAAAGGGACTCTCCATCAAAACCCCTGAGGACGAACCCTAATCCCCAAAACCCCCTTTAAGGTAAATTATAGGGGATCCTACCATTAATCCATATTCCAACTTTCTGGAGTTCCCTTTAAACCGCAACCAGAACTAAAGGACGAAGGATCCTCGGCGGCGGTGAGGTTCAGAGGCAAGGCCACCTCACCGCAGTCTTTCCAGGCCTGGTCGGGGCTCCCCAGCCAGCCTGAAGCCTGACTGAAACCCCACTATAAGGGGCCTTAATAATTAGAATAGGGTTTGGGTGTCCATTATACTATAAACATATTAGAACCCCCCAAGTAGTATAGGTAATCATTGAGGCCACTATATGAATTAAATAAACCCCAACCTCCAAAGCCCTCATGAATCCCATATAGACCCCTTAAGGGAACCCTCAAGAGAACTCTTAAAGGAATCCTACAGGGAATCCTTAACGAAATCCCCCCAAGGGAACCCGAAGGCACCCCCCAAGAAACCCTAAGCCCTCAACCCGAAACCCTGAATCCTAAACCCAAACTCTAAATCCTGAATCCTAAACCCTAAATCCGGAATCCTAGACCCTAAGCCCTGAATCCTGACCCCTAAACTCCAATTCCTGAATCCTAAACCCTAAACTCTAAATCCTGAATCCTAAATCCTAAACCCTGAATCCTAAACCCTAAACTCTAAATCCTGAATCCTAAATCCTAAACCCTGAATCCTAAACCCTAAACTCTAAATCCTGAATCCTAAATCCTAAACCCTGAATCCTAAACCCTAAACTCTAAATCCTGAATCCTAAAATCCTAAACCCTGAATCCTAAATCCTAAACCCTGAATCCTAAACCCTAAACTCTAAATCCTGAATCCTAAATCCTAAACCCTGAATCCTAGACCCTAAACTCTAAATCCTGAATCCTAAACCTAAACCCTCAAACCCTTCCAAATGTAGACCTCGTTGGGCTCGTCCGGTTCTGTGGGCTCGCTTTGCCAGGAGGCTGACGGCCTTGGCTCCGGAACTTTAAAGATTTAGGGCTTTAGGTGTTCAGGGTTTAGGAATTACGGTTTAGGGTTAGGGTTAGGGTTAGGGCTTAGGGTTTGAGGTTTATGGTTTAGGGTTTAGGGCTTGAGGTTTAGGGGCTTAGGGCTTAGGGTATAAGGGCTTAGGGCTTAGGGCTTGGGATCAGGGGTTCGAAGATGTCATATGGGCTGTAGGGGGTTGGAAGGATTTTGCACGGATTGGATCGGGTTTTTTAGGGTTTAGGGTTTAGGGTTTAGGATCTGCTGAAGGCTTCATAAAGGTGTTCCAAACAATAGCCTGGGGGCGGCTGGAAGGGCGCCTTCTCGGCGGCCTGCACGTAGATGGTCACCGGCGGCGTCTCCTTGCAGCCTACCTCCCTCTTCTCCGCAAGAACCTGGCTAGGGCTTGAGGTTTGTCCATTGCGTCCTTTTTGAAACGGTGAAAACTGCTCCCGGAAAACTACAGAAGATGTTCAAACAAACCTGAAAAGATGCCTAGGCACCCTAAACCCCAAAACCCAAAACCCCAAACCCTAAACCCTAAACCCAAAACCCTAAACCCTAAACCCTAAACCCTCAACCCCAAAACCCCAAACCTGTAAAAGGAAAGGCCCAAGGCGCCTCCTCGATCCGCTGCACCGTCTGCAGGATGGACTCTACCGGCCGCGTCTCAGCCTCGAACCTCAGGAAGCTGGCCTCAGGGCTCTCTTCCAAGGGTTTAAAGTTTAGGGTTTGGTCAGGGCTCTCTTTTAAGGGTTTAGTGTTTAGTCAGGGCTCTCTTTTAAGGTTTAGGGTTTAGTCAAGGCTCTCTTTTAAGGCTTTAGGGTTTAGTCAGGGCTCTCTTTTAAGGGTTTAAGGTTTAGGGTTTAGTCAGGGCTCTCTTTTAAGGGTTAAGGGTTTAGGGTTTACTCAGGGCTCTCTTTTAAGGCTTTAGGGTTTAGTCAGGGCTCTCTTTTAAGGGTTTAGGGTTTAGGGTTTGGTCAGGGCTCTCTTTTAAGGGTTTAGGGTTTAGCCAGGGCTCTCTTTTAAGGGTTTAGGGTCTAGGGTTTGGTCAGGGCTCTCTTTTAAGGGTTTAGGGTTTAGGGTTTGGTCAGGGCTCTCTTTTAAGGGGTTTAGGGTTTAGGGTTTAGTCAGGGCTCTCTTTTCAGGCTTTAGTGTTTAGTCAGGGCTCTCTTTCAAGGGTTTAAGGTTTATTGTTCAAGGTTTAGGGCTTGGGGTGCTTTTAAGGGTTCCATAGGGGATCTACAGGGATTTACAAGCGATCTATAGCGGCTTAGGGCTTAGAGTGTTCGATTTAGGGTTAAGCTTATGGCTTGGAGGTGCAGAGCCGGCCTCTAGGAACTCGTTGATATCGAGGACTCCGTCGCCGTTGGTGTCCTTAGCCGCCAGGGCTTGTGCACCACGTCAACACCCCAAGTCGAGAACTTGCAAGGTGCTAAGAAATCAGCAACCCCATAAGCTCGGCCCCAAACCCACGGCCTTAAACCCAAACCAAGTAGAATTCGCAGAAGGTTCTTGCAAACACATAAACTACAAAAATAAGACAAAGGGTCCGCGGTTTGGAAGGACGCTTCGTCGATCCAACCGGCTTGCAGATCATCGCCTACCTGCGTAGCCACCGTCTTCTGGGCCGAGACCTCGAAATTTCTGGGTTTAGGGTTTAGGGTTTGAGGCTTTAGGGTTCAGGGTTTGGGGCTTAAGGTTTAAGAGTTCAGGGTTTAGGGCTTAGGGTTTAGGGTCAGTAATACTTATGAGAATGAAGAGGGAGACCCTCAACCCTAAACCCTAAACGAAGTTTAGGGTTTAGGGTCCCTAAATCCTAAACGAAACCGGGAGCCCCAAAAAATCCTACAGTGAACCCCATAAAGTTGGAAACCGAATTAAGGCCAAATAGTGCTGGGGTTCCCTATACATCACTCTTAGGGATTGAGGCTATTGAGTTTCCAACTTTTTGGCCTCTAATGTAAACCCCAAACGAAACCGGGAGACCCAGTTCTCGGGGGGGACGAGGCCATCGTTGGCGAGGTCGACGAGGGCAAAGATTCTGCGCAGCGAGAAGCGGATGCCGGCATGGTACCTCGTTTGAGGCAGAACTCTATAAGGGTCTTCGGGTTCCCTTGCAGGGGAAAACTGAAGGGTTTATAGGATTTTGGATTTTGTGCCCCAGGGCCGCAATTAATAGCTCGCCCTGAGGAATAGGTTTTGTGAGTGGGTACATTAAACAATGTGTAACTGCTCAGAAAGCAGAAAGCAATGCTACTAGCATAGGTGGAGTTTTGGGGGGGCATTATACTGTCGATGATTCTGAAAGCTTCCAGGCTGTCGGATGTAGCGGAGTCCAAAAAAGCATCCTGCTCGAGTGCCCAGTCACCTCGGTCCCATCCTAGCTCGCTCATCCAGCGCCTGCACCCAGTGACACCACAAATGGGGCGGAATAGGGTTTAGGGTTCAAGGTTTAGGGTTTAATGTTTGGAGGTTTGGGGTTTAAGGTTTAGGGTTTAGGCGGGGTTGAGGTCCTTCAAAGGCTTTTTTTCAAAGGTGCTTGCAGGTTTCATATTGAGGAGATGTCTCAACTCCTGATTACACGCCCTGTAATAACTAAGGCGAACTCCTTGCAGGACAGCAAGACGCCAAATGCACAAATGAATGCCGTTCCCAAACCAACACAGAAGCCGTGCATCCTTCAGAAGTACATCAGGCAGCTAACAGGCCTCGTAGTGCTCAAAGGCTTCTGATTCTGCGGCTGCAAGTTCAACCCTAAGCCCTGAACAATGCTTTCAGTGGTCGGGTTTAAAATATCATAAACCGGCGGCCCCGCTTGCACATTTAGCTTCTTTTCCAAAGTTCGGGGGACTTCAGGCTGCCCTTTAAGTGTCTAAGGGTTTTATCCCTCAACCCTCAACCCTCAGAGTGTCTATGGGGTTTAGGAATCTACGACTGCAGATCTGGGATCGGATCAGGGGCTGTTGGCTAGCGGCGCCAATGAATGTGGGCCCAAAGCTCAGCGTCCATCAACGTCAGCAGCATGGACATGAATAATGCTAACAGTCATGATCGTCGAAATCATGGACATAAGCATAGTCAGGCATAATCATAATTATAGGCTTAAGCATAATCATAGTAACAAAAGTAATGGTGATGACAATCCCAATCCCACAACCGTAAACTCTACATACTTATTCCTACGATTTGAACCCTAAGGCCGAAGCCCTACCCGCGAAACCCTAAAACTACAGTCAGTTCTTGTTTCAGCCCGCATCCCTAAACCCGAAACCCTAAAGCCTGAACCCTAAGCCCTACAGCCCTGCTAAACCCCTAAAGCCCTAAACCCCAAAACCCCTAAACCCCTGAAGCCCTAAACCCTAAAGCTTTAAATCCAATCCCTAAACCCCTAAAGCCCTAAACCCCTAAACCCCTAAACCCACCACCTGGTTCGTCTGCTGCGCCATGTGCTCTAAAACTTCCACTCGAGACATACCCATCTCCTGGGGCTCTTTTGCTCTAGAGCTCCTTCTTCGGGTGTTTTGGGGGGTTTAGGGTTTAGGGGTTTAGGGTTTAGGGGTTTAGGGGTTTAGGGTTTAGGGTTCATGGGTTTACGGTTTAGGGCATAGGGTTTAGGGTTTAGGGTGTAGGGTTTAGGGTTTTGGGGTTTAGGGCTTTGGGTTTCTAGAGCTCCCTTGCGCTTCGGATTTATTTTTGCTTTAAAGGGGCTCTTTTCCAACCTGCGGGTACAGTAAGAAAGGGTTTAGGGTTTAGGGTTTTGGGTTTTGGGGTTTAGGGTTTAGGGTTAAGGGTCTAGGATTTTGGGTTTTGGGTTTTGGGGGCTTCTATGCGGGCTCCTTGAAGGGCTACAGGCTTTTAGGTTCTTTGGACTTCGCGTCGGGTGCTTCTGCTTCAAGAGAGATCAGAAGGGTCCTAGTTCGATAAGGATGGCTAGTTCTTCTTTCGAGGCTTCCTCAACTTCTTAAGAAACTCAGTGGTTTTGGGGCTAAGGGTTTAGGCTGCTGTTCATGGAGACTCCTGAGTCATTTGAAAGTTGCCTCCTAAGGCTATACTTGTGCTTGAAGAGAGTATGTAATGTAGTTTCTGCTTTGCACGAACCAATAACACAGAAGACAGAAACAGTGAGAGAGAGCGAGAGAGACCGAGAGATCTGAATCTACATGTAAACATGTGCGTGTGCGTATGGGCAGATATATATATATATATATATATATATGTATGTATATCTGCATACATGTGCATACCTGTGCATACATATGCATGCATACATGTATATATAGGGGAGATTAGGCGAAAGAGAAACCTTAAACCATAGACCCCCACTCATAGCAAAAACATGAAAACACAAGAATACATGTTTTTGGCAACAGCAATAGCAATAGGAAGCACACCAACAGCATACTATACTTGTCATAACGAACCCTCAAAATAACATTGCGAAATATTAAGGCCCCTATATTAATCCCTAAGCCCCAAACTAAAGATTAGCGAACCCTATTGGTAGTTATTAAGGCCCCTTTTTAATTCCCTAAAACCCAAACTAGGAATTAGCAAAAACAAAAGCCCATAAACCCTAAACCCTAGACCCTAAACCTCAAACCTTAAACCCCATAAACCCTAATGAAGAGCCCAAGTCGCCTGATAGGCCGTGAGCATCCGCTCCTGGAACTCCTCATCGCGCTTTTTTGCTTTACTTCTTCGGCTTGAGAGTTCGTTTAAAGGTTCCTTAGGGTTTAAGGTTCCTTTAAGGGTTCCTTAGGGTTTAGGGTTCCTTTAAGGGTTCCTTAGGGTTTAGGGTTTAATTATAAGGTTTGAGGTTTAGGGTTTAGGGTGTAGGGCTTAGGGTCAGAATGGTGCTTAAGGGTATGTAAGGGGGGTGCCGGGTTTAGGGAATGGGGTTTTAGGGCTTAGGGTGTTGTGTTCAGGGTTGGGGTTTCGGGCCATTTAGGAGCACTTGTAGGAGCCTTGTGGTAAGTTTAGGGTTTAGGGCTTTCAGGGTTTAGGGTTTAGGGTTTGGGTCTTTGAGGGTTTGGCGTTTACGGTTTAGCGTTTAGGGTTTAGGGTTGATCCCCGGTCAAAGCCACTTTCGCAGGGGCTTGCAGAGCAAGGTTCTTCGAAGTCAAGGGAGCCGTTTGAGTCGCGATCAGCCAGGGTCATCTTGGCATTGCCCGAGTCACCCCGGTAGACCTGCATAGACTAAGAGAGTCTAAACCCTAAAGCGACGTCAACTTTCAGCTCAAGAGTGCCTAAACCCCGAACCTAGAATTTGGGTTTTGGCTTGAGGGCTCCAGGCTTTCGGGTAAAGAAGTTAAAAGAAGCTAGACGTCGATTGTTGTCCAGTGAGAGGCTCAAGATTTTGGCTGTAAACATCTTCGGTTCGGAGTGCTTTAGGTTTGGGGCTTCTTCTTTCAAGCTTGAAAACATGTGCCTGTCCTCTTTTCCAAACCCGGAGCACTAAACTACAGCTGATGAACAGAATCCCGCCTGAAGCGCGCGACACTCTTTGCATTCTAGTAGAATTGACCCGAAGTTCGGGCAATGCCCATACACCCTGTAACACCTATAACTATAGACCCCCACTGTTCGAAGAGTCAACCAACCCCTGGACAGGGTCCCAACGTACAAGTGTATGCCGTAGAATGGATAAGGATGTTGCTTCACCTGTTTGGTAGTTTAGGGGCTAAGGGTTTAGGGTTCAGCTGTCTGGGGTTTGGGGTTTAGTGGTTTAGGGGCAAGGTCCCTCCAATAACTGCAGGCTGTGACCCTTTGCCTGCCCCTCCTCATAGTGGATCCGCATCTCGATGGCTATGAACTGCTCCTTCAAGGTTCAAGGTGCTCCCTTAACTCCAGAACCTAAGAACCCCCCCCACCCCCCCCCCCCCCTCACGCACACACACAATGAACCACACCCCAAGATGCATGAAGCCTGACAGCAAGCAAGCAGAAAAGAGCTGCCATCATGAAACGAATACCACACACAACCCTCCACATCCTTCTTCTACCACCCTATGCCAAAACACAAAGAAACGGAAACATGTAGAGACTCTTGCCTAAAACTTTTGTAACATCGAATCGACCCGGTCTCCCGACTCAGCAGGCCCGACTCATCCAAGTCGTAGGCGCGAAAAAGCTGGCCTATCGTAGTTGTGGGTTTGGGGGTTTCGGATCTTGATAATTAGAGTAGGGCTTGGAGTATGCTTTACTCACGATAAGGAAGCACAAAATAGTATTGGCACCCTCTATTATCTGAATTGTGGGCTGCAGGGCTTGTAGCATCGAGGGTTCCAGTTCAGGCTTGAGGCTCTAGGGATGTGGGAGTTTCCGAAAATAGGGGACCCTAATATAGTACCCTAAATAGTAGGATCCTTAACATAAGGACCCCAAAATAAGGTACCCCTAATTTTCGGAAACTCCCATGTGGGTTTAGAGTGAACAGGCCCTTGAAAGGAACCCCAAACTAAGCCATGGTGGAGTGGTTCCGGCTGTCTCAGGGTTTAGAGTTTAGGGCTTCAGGGTTTATGGTCTAGGCATTTTAGGATTCGGGGTTGGGGCTTAGGATTAAGGGCTTAAAGCTTCGGGCTCAAGGGCTTAGGGTTTGGGGGTATGGGCTGAAGGACTTCGGGTTTACGGCTTAAGGGTGGGCCTCATCGAAACTACCCGAAGGACAAAGGAGTCTGCTAAGGGGCCTTGAACATAGGAATAAGATGCAATAGGGTGTTAGGACATCGGCGCTATAAGGAAAACTCGGGATCACCCTAGGGCCCCTTTTGCAGTTCCTTGTGTTCGCAAGCAAACAAGTATAGACCCCCCAAACACCCACTGCCTTCAAAAAATGCAATGACCGTAGGAAAATGTCAGAGACAGACAAGCAGCCAAATAGGTGCTCGCTACAAAACAAATTGAACATGTGAATATAGACGCTCAACCCAAGCCTAGAGCCACTTGAATCTCGTCAACCTCCTGGTCAGCCATGGCGCGAAGGGACGAGGCGTGCTCGGAAGGCTTGGTAGTTGCAGGTTGAGGGTTTCCATCGGGTGGTGGGGGCTTCTCGGGCTTCAGGCGTGTTCTTTAAGAACGCAGTGGGCTGCGGCGGAGATAAGAGCAGACTTGCTGCATGCCAAGGGCGTCCCTCAGAGTCCACAGTCGCAAGCCCAGACCCCTTGAAGCATCCGAGCAATACAGCTCTTCAATGCTGCAGGAGCTGAACGCAAGCCCACAGCTGGAACAGCCATAAGACCATAAGGCCACCCTACTACTACTACTACTACTACTACTACTACTGCTGCTACTACTACTACTACTACTACTACTACTACTACTACTACTACTACTACTACTTCTCCCGCTGCCATTACGACGACGACGACACTACTCCGACTAGGACCAAGGCCCGGACTCGGACTCGGACTAAAGGGAACTCCAGAAAGTTGGAATATGGGTTTAGGGTTTAGGGTAGGATCCCCTATAATGTACCATAAAGGGGTTACGATAATGATATTTCAACTTTCTGGCTTCTACTGTAATCTGAAGCAGAACCCCAAACCCCCGTTGATACGTCGGAGATCCGCTCAGCCGCGGTCTTGGGAGTATGCTATGCTAACTTTACATGTTTTGGGAGTATAATATGCTATGGACTCTAAAGATATGTAGGGTTACAAAAGGACAACTAGGAAATAGTCAGACCTCCAAGTTGGAGATTACTTAGATTGAGTGTCTCGGGCTTTAGCCTGTCGATGCTTAACTAAGATCGACGGCTCAGGCTCGGGGTGTAGGCATTTTCAGGGTTTAGGATCTGCTCTTGGTTCTGGGCTTAGGGCCTCAGGGTTTAACGTCGAGGGTGTACTTCGGATTTAGCGTCTGACTAGGGACCCCAAAAAGCACATAGGCATAAGCAGTTTATAAGGATATCCCTGCTTCATGAAAAGGCGGTCAAATTTTTTTGGGATATCCAAACCCTTATTTGTTCTTATGTGCTTTTTGGGGCTTATCTGAGGTTATCTTCCTGAGCCCCGGAACGGCAGCGGCAGGCACAGCCGGAGCGGCGGGCGCAGCCGGAGCGGCGGGCGCAGCCGGAGCGGCGGGCACAGCCGGGACGGCGGGCACAGCCGGTGCCGCTGGAACCTTGAGTGGTGCCTCGAAACTGCTGGTTTGCGGGGGGGGGGGGGGGAATTCTGGTTGTTAAGGCCCCTATATTAGGTCTTTAGGGCTCGGTAAAGACGTAAGATATAGTTCTGTGGGGTCGAAGAAGAATTGGCAATGAAGACGAATAATAGTAATAGCAATAACACTAACCATAAGGACTGCTGCAATTACAACGGCAGGAAGAAGCAACAAAAACACCAGCCACAACCACAACAACACGCAAAACAGCAGCAACAACAACAACAACAACAACAACAACAACAACAACAACAACAACAACAACAACAACAACAACAACAACAACAACAACAACAACAACAACAACAACAACAACAACAACAACAACAACAACAACAACAACAACAACACAAACAACAACAACACCAACAACAACAACAACAACAACAACAACAACAACAACAACAACAACAACAACAACAACAACAACAACAACAACAACAACAACAACAACAACAACAACAACAACAACAGCAACAGCAACAGCAACAGCAAAAACAACAACAGGAACAATCAGATTAAAAAACAACAATAGTAATCGTCTAACTCAGAATGCTAACAATGATAGTACTCGTACGAGTTAATAATGATGATACAGATGAAACCCTAAAACAAAAGGTCCTACAGGAATGATATTCATTAGTTTATGTTTTGGGGTTTAGGGTTTCGGCTTCTTGAAGCTCTCACTGTTATTGGAGCGAAGCCAGCAGTATCCTCCCTGCGCTCATTGTACTGCAGGGGCCTTATCAATCATAATAGGGTCTTTGGGGTATATTATCCTATAGTTGTAGTAAGGAACCCCCAAAAATAGCATCGCTAATGCTTTAAGGCCCCTTATAGTGTTTCAGGATTGTGCATCGACTAACGCAGGATCTGACATGTGCCGAGTGCTGTCACAATTAGGTCTGTCTTATGGTGCTTATGCTGACACACGAGGGACGCAAGTCTATGTGGACCGAAAAGTGATTAAGTGACCTACGACTGTTTTGCAAAGATTCTTGATAACAGAGGCTCCAAACCCCGCGATTGATTGAGGAATGCAATATACCTCAAGGAACCTAGGGCTCTGAAGACGTGGAGTTTAATCCTGAATACTGAAGAGCTTTCGGCACCCATACCTTTAATCCCGAAACTGCGGCCCTACGTGGTCTGCCGTCCAAGCTGCGATCTTGGGGACGGCCGGGACGGCAGGGGCAGCTGGGGCCGGGGCCTGGAGCATACATAGAGGTTTAGGGGTTCAGGGGTTTACGGGTTGAGGGTTTCGTGTCCAGCTCAACTGCCCGATGCTGAGACTTTGAGGTTAAGGAAAAGTTTGGTAGACTCTGCCAGGTTCGCGTCTAAACATGTCGAGTTTGGGGGCGATTCCAGCTTGGAAACATAATGATTAAGAAAATCTTGGTTGTTGTGTTTCTGCGCGTCGCCGGAAAATAGCTTCTGGTTGACATGTTAACACTCTCGGGATTGCCTGAAACCCAAACCTGAATTCTGCTGCAAACTGTGCATGGTCATCCCTGTGCTTTAGAGTTTGGGGACTGTCAGTTCAAAAGTGTTAACGTTAAAACCTTAAGACCCCGCCGAAACAAAGTTGATTGAAGATATAGGTTTTGTATTTCTACACGCCTCCGAAACAAACTTGCATCTGCGTGTTTCTACGCTGTGGATCAAGTATTGGAGCATATCGGCACGACAGCAATGTAAGTTCATTTGGGCTTGGCTTAGGTTTTTGGGGGGGTGGTGTCTTGGATTTGGGGGACTAGGGCTCGGGAACTACTTACGCTTGCACGATGGGTGTTTTCGACTTAGGGCTTACAGTTAAGGGCGCACAGGTATGGGGCTGACTTGACAACACCCTCACTTTGGATGAGGCAGAACAGAACATGTTGTAGAGAATGCTACCGAACCCTTTTAGAATCCTTGAAGGTTGTCCATCACCAATGGATCGCTGTTCATGAGTCTAAGCCCTCAACCCCTAAACCCCTAGAACCTCAACCCCAAACCCCAAACGCTCATTCTGACACCCTATACAAACCTCCCGTAAACCCTAAACCCCAAACCCCAACACCCTAAACCACCAAACCCTAAACCCTAAACCCGAAACCCTAAACCCTGAAGCACTAAACCCTAAACCCTATATATCTGTGCCGCCCCAGGCACGACCGCCGGCACAGCGGGGGCCGCTGGCGCAGGGGCCTCATTGGGCAGGAGGGGTCGGGTTAGGGGTTTTAGGGTTTCAGGCTTTAGGGTTTTAGGGTTTAGCGTTTTAGGGTTAGGGTTTAGGGTTTAGGGTTTTAGGGTTTGGGGTTTTAGGGTGCTCTCGTCCTTCTTTCGGTTTTTGGGCTTGGAGTTTGCGGGTTTAGGGTCTAGGGTTTTGGGCTTAGGGTTTAGGATTTAGGCTCAAGACTCATTACTTGGGGCTCCCTCTTCGAACGATGAACTGCGGTTTAGGGTTTAGGGTTTAGGGTTTAGGGTTTATTGAGACAAAGTTGCTCTACAATCGCAGATGTCAGATGTTGAGCAATTTCAATGACCTCAAGATGAAAGTGGGTAGGGATATGGATCTAAACTTGATCTAAACCCTAAACCGATACGGACTCTGACTGGGGACTCCACCTGCCTTCATCCTACCTTGTGGGCCTTCTGATGATCGTTCAAGCACACCCTGGTCCGGAGTTTGAGGATGTGCACGAGTTAGGGGTTGAGGGTCTCTGGGTTCAGGGTTTAGGGTGTAGGGCCGGGTTTATTAGGGCATCTGGTTTGGGGATTTAAGGTTTAGGGTTTAGGGTTTAGGGTTTAGGGACTTCAGAAGTTGCATGAAAAATCTCTCATGGCCGCTTCATGCCATGAGCTGCCGACACTGCCATCCTGCGACCAAGGCTGTAGTTGCAGGCACTGACCGTGACGGGGATTCTCTTACCTTTAGGGGCCTTATAAAGGGGTCTATAAGGGTTACGATAAGGTATCTATATAGGGGTACTATAATATAGGGGACGTAATAATCCTATAGCTTACCTTTGGTTAGTAGGGAATGGAAGAATGGTAGTAATAGTAGTTCTAGTTGTACCCCATTCCTCCATTCCCCTACTAACCAAAAGTAAGTTCTGGGAGCTTGCTTACATGCTGTTTTCAAACCCAAAGCAAACCTTCCCGTGATTGGTCAGAGTCGCTTGACTGCCAGCAACATGCCAAGGCCTAGCGTCTTTGTAGCCTGGCGGAATGAGTACGGGATCTGCAATGAGGAATAGTCAGATTGTTGATTGGCAAATTGAACTGCTGCGCGCGGAGGAGTTGGGATGGGTGAACCAGAAATCGCAATCCCGCCTGTCCGAATATTTCCTAAAGACGGTTTAGGGTTTGGGAAATTTGGCAGACTATCCATGATCTCAGGGCAAAATCCCTCACGCACCACGAGAAGCCAAAGTCTTTCTCAAGCAAACATAGCCTCCTGATGAGATGCCTGCAGGCTCGCAGTTCAGTCCTAAACCAGGCACCTCTGAAGCGCTCCCAAGCACATGAAAAACAAAATGCTCATCGAAACCGTAAACCCTCAAACACAAAAAAGACGTGAACATCCACGTAGACCCGGGAGGACCGCTTGAGCAAACATCTATTTAACAAGTACGTACGAAAATGTGATATCAATGATAACCATGAGTATTGCTGTAACAAGACCTCTAGGTTAGTTGTCATATATGTATAATCATGATACATACATCACTCCGAACTGGTATGTCGTTTCTCTTAGCTCGAAAACTAGTATGGCAGCTTTGTAAAAAGACCCTGAGCGGGACTCTAGTTTAGACCACTACCCAGCT